AAAGATTAAAGCAATCATCATCATCAAGATTGTAATGAATTGATCAAAAATGAGACTGATGAATTTTTAGAAATAAAATCTAAAATTTTACTGTTCTGCATTCATTTAATTATGATCTGTGTCCGATGATTTTTTTAAATAATCATTTTTTCCTCGGATAGCAACGTTTTTTTTAAATCAAAGCGCATTATAAATGAATCGAAATGAAAATGATAATTAAGTGTCATATAAATTTTTATAAACAAAACAATTAAAATTAGTTATTAAATAATTATTTAATGTAGATAGTTAAAGGTATGACATATTTTTGTGATTTATCAATCTAAACTGTCATAGACTAAATTTTCAAGCATGTTTTTCCCCTCTTTTTCTTATGTTAATTTTCTATTAACCTAATTCTTCGATAAGAATAAACGCATTTAATAAAATTGAATTGAATTGAATCTAAACTGTCATATAAATAATTATCATACAATGATTATTGTTTCTATTAATTAATGTTTTAAATCTGATTGAAAATAATGAAATTTTATTATGTTACAATTATTTTTTCGAAGTGATGGATAGAGAAAAAGAATATTTATAAGGCACCAAAAAAAATAAAAGAAATCATTCATTTAAATTTTTTTCTGTGTACCGTCTTCAACAACAATCGAAAATGTTGAAATTATATTTGGCATCAATTTTTTTCTCATTGAAGTTATTGAACGTTGATAGTGCATTAGTTCTTGATTCTGTTTTTGTTGTTCTTCGACATGGTGATCGTAATCCATTATACATTTATCCAAATGATCCATATGATGAAGAGTATTGGAAGCAGCAGGGTGGTTTAGGGAATTTGACCGATAAAGGTGAAAATCGAATCCGTGTGGCAGCTAAAAATTATCGCCAACAATATGAAATGTTACTGGACAAAAGTGATGAATCAAACAATCTAATTTTAACTTCAACAAGTGAACGTGCTATAAAAACAGCCAATATATTCATGGAAGTGATCAATAAAACGACAACATTCGAACGTAATGATAAAATGTTGAAAACAACTGTGAAATGTGAAAAAGCTGAAAAAATTCAATTAGATTTGCTTATCAAAAAAGCGCCAGAATTAGTGCCCAATAACACTTTCATCGATAATATTAGTAATAAAACTGGTGAAAAATATACGGAAGATTCAGTGAAAAATTTACAATTATTGAATGGTTTAGCAAATACTTTGGAAATTGAACGAGACCAAATGAAATTGAACGTTTCCGATTGGATCACCGATAAAGAAACAGCTAATATTCTGTCTAATTTGTACAAGAAAACGTTTGCAACAATGTCAAATGATCATGAAATTCAACGTTTACGTGCTGGTCTATTATTAAAAAATATTCGTGATCAGATCAAAAACAATTCCAGTCAACGATTTTTTCTATATTCAACACATGATTTAAATCAAATTGTATTGTTACAAGCACTGCATCTGTATGATCAACTAGACCAAGACAATAGTGTACCACCAACATACGTCAGCGGTGTGGTGTTTGAAGTTTATCGTAATGAAAGTGAACAACAACAAAATAAATGGATTCGCTTCATTTATCGACAATTCTTAGACAATGAAAATGGTACCATAATCAAAGTAGATACTCAAATGGTTCCAGAATTATGTCAAACGGAATTACAATTTCAGGATGGAACAACTATAAATACCCAAAAATTTTGCTCTTGGGAACAATTTAGCAATGAATTATTAAAAAATCTATTACCAGAAAATTGGGACAAAGAATGCATGAATTCGGCAGCTATCAAGCCGATGGTAACATTCATGGTATTCATCATTACCATATTAACAAGTTATTTTTCAACACATTGAATTTGAATGTTTTAAATCTTTTCTCATTAGCATCATTTTCCTCTATTTTTCAATATTAAGCGCAATTTTAATGATTAATAATCATGAAAATGTATTTATTAATTTTACTGCTCAATTACAATGAATACTTTTTAAAAAAGATTTTTTATCGCTATAAAATAAGGGCAACAATTTCGGAATTTGAATCAAATTATTAAATAAAGATGAAAATAATAATTAAATGTCATATAATTTTTATAAACAAAAAGATCACAATTGAAATTAATTAGTTATTAATGGATCATGTCATATTTGGTCTGTCAACCTAAACTGTAATAAAATGGTTGGTGTTTCCACTATCTAATGGTTCGAAATTGATTTAAAATAATAAAATATTATGATAAGACAATCATTTTTTCCTAGGTGATGGATAGGGAAAAAAGAAAATCTATATAACAGCAAGAAAAAATAGAGAATTTTTCATTACTTGCTTATACATTTGTAGTATGTGTTTGTGCATTATCTTCAACAACAATCGAAAATGTTAAAATTATATTTGGCATCAATTTTTTTCTTATTGAAGATATTAAATGTCGATAGTGTATTAGTTGTTGATTCTGTTTTCGTTGTTCTTCGACATGGTGATCGTAATCCATTA